ATGCATGCATGCATGCATGCATGTGTATATATGTGTAGACACATATATTGACCTACGCAGATATCTCATGACATCATGTCCATGAGTGGTCTTACGGTGCATGCGCCAGTTCGGTCAGCCCCAGCTCAGGGGGGGGGGGTTGCGGTGCCGTGCGCTCTCCCGCTCTCGGGGGCCAGGCGCAGATTTCGTGACAAGCTACGTCGCGGCTTGCTTAGGGGGCCACATGCGAACCCTACCCCCACCCCACGATTTCTGAGGCGAAGTGAACCCCACCCTCACCCTCAGAAATCGTGGGGGGTAGGGGTAGGGTTCGCATGTGGCCCCCGACTGTTTCCCAAGTGCTGAGCTTGTGAAGCCCGATTGGCACTACGTGATGGCGGAAGCCCTGCAAGTCTTCCTCTTCCTTCCTTTGTATTCCTCTTCCTTCCTCTCCTCGTCGTCCTTCCCCTCCTCCTCCTTCTCCTCGTCCTCCTCCTCCTCCTCCTCCTCCTCGTCCCCCTCCTCCAACCACGTCCTCCTCCCACCAAGTCCTCCTCCTCCACCTGCTCCTCCTCCGCCTCGCTCCTCGTCTTCGCGCTCCTGCGGCTAACCCTGGAGGATCGAGCATCGAGGGCTGAGGAGGACCGAGGAGGGTCGAGGGCCAGGGAGGACCGAGAAGGATCGTAGAGGATCGACGGGACCCCACTCCTCCTCCGCCCCCTCCTCCCTCTCATCCTCCCCCTCCGCTTCGAACTTGGACGCTGCCCTGGGGAGGTTCGAGTGTCCCTTCTGAGGTCTGACCACGCATTCCCAAGCACGCTCCGTTGTGGCATCTTGCCCTGCTCCCCACATCTCGCTTCCTCGTGCCTCGCAGGCCATGGCTTCTCTCGACAGCATGTCAACTGCTAAAGGTACACGCGGCCACGTCGGCCCGCCAGGCCGATGAGCTGCGCTCCTTGATCAAGACGCTGATGGACTCGGTGGCAGCGGCCCAGACAGTTTCCAGCCAGCTGTCCCTGAAGCCCGACACCATCCAGACGGAGAGCGACCAGCGGTTCGCCAAGCTGGAAAATCAGTTCGACGAGTTGCGCCGTGGAGGCTTTCCTCAGGTCGACAGATACGAGGCATTGGACATCGGAGGTGACGCCGTGCAGGTACCACCGCAGCTGTTGCAGCAGCTCCAGGGCATCGAGATCAAGCTTTACGACCTCCAAGCGGCTCAATCTTCAGCTTCTACTATTGCTTTGCTCCGCCTGTACGACACCAGTTCGGACAGGCGCTCCAAGGTCAGGCGCCTTGGCCCCGAGGTGATCACCATCAATGGCGACGGCGCCGACCCACAAAAAATTGGGTGCGTGGATTTCCGCGCAAACTTCTCAAAATGAAGCTAGATGCCCACCTCGAAGGAACTGCAGAGCGCGATGCCTGGCTCCTACGCTGACAGGTGCAAGGCGTGGGCGCGCAACCTCACCACATCTTACGTGATCCAGTTCGAGAGCCAGCAGGACGCGACGAGCTTTCACGATCAGTACCGCCTCGTATTGCCGACATTGCGTGACGCTCGAGACCACTGAGTGCATGCGCTACATGGGGGTCGAGGCTTCCTGGTCGACGCGCGCAAACGCAGCTGCGCCCTCGGTGAGTGCTGGACCATATGCGAGAATATGCTCAACGAGAAGCATCTCTGGCGCCCCGGGATGAAGCGCGGATGCAAACCCTTCCGGGCCGTCTGCTTCTTGACCTGCGCCAGCGAGGTTTGCGAGTTGGCTCGGTGTGGCGATGGCCCTGGGGGCACATTCGCATTCGAGCCGCAGTGCCAGGCGTGGGCAAACATCGGCATTGACCAGAACTCGGCCCAGCCCATCCCTAGTCTCATCCAAGGCCTCCTCGACAGCGCCATGCTTGCAGCCATGCTGCCATGCTGGATGCTAACTGCACTGCTTCATTACCCATTACTTGCGGTGCGGCCTCGGGTGCGAGCTCGATGGGCGCAGGCCTGAGGTCTTTCCAATTCAACATTATGGTAACGCCGAGCCTGCTGCCAAACGCCAGCGGCTGGGGAAAAGTCGGGAGCGTGGCCCGGCGCGCCCCTCTTCCTCCCCCCACTCCTCCCCCCCTTCTGCCCCCTCGTCCCTCTTCCCTGTTTGAGGCGTTGGTATCCAGGAGTGCGTTTTTCCTCGCGAGCTTACATTCTGCCGCCTGGAGTTCGGGCGCTCTCTGCGGGGCTGCGGCAGGCCCCGCATCCCGCCAAAAGACGGACCCAACGTGAGATTCGAATCATTTACCAGCGAAGCGACATTGCATGTTTGTAGGAAGTCCCACGGTTCTGAAGCTGGAGTTGCCAAGTTTGGAGCGCATGTTTTCTGATTCTCCCTGCTGCGGCCCCTTCCCAGATCGCGCGCGGGAGGTCTTGTGATTTCCGTTCGGAAGACCCGTCGCAACGCGTGGAGAACCAGTGCTGCGCGTCATCGATCCAGGGCTCGCGCTCCCCATTGCGCGTCACGGTCGGTGTTCACGACAG